AGAAGTGGCCGAGAGGCGCTAACACAGCTGAGGAGCAGGGAGAGGGAGGTTTGGCATCGAAAAGGGACTTCATGTATGTTAACCCGACTGGACTCAGTTTATTGTTTATTGTCTAAAATAAAAAGGCGGAGCTCCTTGTTAAAAAAAACAGAGAAAAGAAAGATGCCTTTAAGACTATGAAAAGGTAAAGCTTTATCCTATTTTCCATGGTTTTTCTCTTGACCAGTCACGGTAATTCTGCTATTTAATCTGTTTCTCCCTCGGGCACAGGGATACTCAAGGGGCAAGCGCAACCCTCGTGGGCACCTGGGGGGGTGGGTCCTGCCTCAGCATTCGGGGCACTGCCTGGTCCGTCAGCTGCTGGACTGACATGCCACGTCCTGGCCGAGGGTGGGAAGCGGCCAGGCATCGCCGTTCCTGCAGACTGGCCTCTCGTACCCACGGAGGGCAGGGCACCCCGAGGGTACTGAGCCTCAGTGCCACTCTGTGGGCAGCTGGGTCAATGGGCAAGAGGCTCTTGAAGAGTCTGTGTGGCATCGGAGTGCAAGGAATTGCCCTGAAGAAAAAGGGACACAGCCCAGGGATGCTCTGGGGGTTTACCCGGCACAAACATTGGAAGCAGGACGGCTGCCGTGACTCTGGGAGGAAGGGCTGCCTTAGACTCGGCGGCTGTAAGGCCCGGGCTGCTCTAGGCGGCTCTCCCTCAGCCCAGCCCGGCAGCGAGGACAGGGTGCCTCATGGGTCCTGTGCTGTCAGCTGGGCACTGACTGACGTGGGCAGCATCCCGGGATGAAACTCGAGGCAGGCGGGGCAACGGGGAGCCCCTGCGTGTGTCTGCTCAGCCTCACCCAGCCGCACACAAATCAAGGTCGTGACCTTGTCTTGGGGGCTGCGTGCTGGGCCCCAGGGCGCACGGGGTCTGAGCTGGCAGTTCCTGGTTGGGCGAGAGGCTGAGTTAGCGCAGAGGGATCCAGGGCTGGCACCCAGAGGGCGGGGGCTTGGGTGGGGGCGGGGGTGGGGGGGAAGGCAGCCACCCAAGAAGAGCCAGATGAGATGTGCGGTGCTGGCTGCAGTCCAGTGTTAGAGTCTGGGTGGCAGGCCGGACGTGATGGATGAGCTGAGAGCTCTGCAGAGGGCACCGAGCGCAGGTCCTGACTAAGCAGCGAGGACGGCGGAAGCCTGGTGCCCTGCCCTGTCCGTCAGACAGCCACCAGCCACAGGCCATGCAAAGTCACAAAATGCAACGAAATAAAAACATCAGTTCCCCAGTCGCATTAGCCACACGGCCAGTGGCACCGGGGTGGACAGTGTGCACACAGGCCACTGTCATCGCTGCTGAAAGTCCTATTGGAAGGCAGACGGCCCCATTACTATTCTTATAGTGAATACATGTTGGAATCGCATTTAAAATACTTTCAGTTAAATAAGACATAATACCAATGTTAACTAACTTCACCGGTTTCTTTTTACCTTTTTTTTCCCTTACTGTGGGCAATAGGAACTTGTAAATTATCCATGTGGCTCCTATTTCCACAGGACAGTGTGATTACAGAAGGGCACGGAACACACCTTCACTCACTCATTGTTCTTAATGCTATTCCGTTTGACCATGGCCGTAAAACCCTTCCTTAACACAAAGCTTACGGGGCAGCCCGAGGTAATGGCACAAATGCAAGCTTTGGAGCCAGAAAATTCCAGGTCCAAATCTCAGCTCCACCCCCTACTCGCTGCATGGTCTTGGCCAGAGAACTTCCCTTTGTGCCTCAGTTTTCTCATCTGAACAATGGGATCAGTGAATGAGCTACAACTGTGCACACCCCGGGAGACGGTGATGGAGAGGGACGCTCGCTCGTGGGCCCGGCCCTGGTGCGCCTCTGTCAGAGGTCATTGTCACTGCTGTTATTACTGTCTAGTGTTTTTAGCATCAAAGTAGGAGGTCAGTGTCTCTGGCCTCTGACCACTCACTCCCCTGCCCCCAGCCTCAGCCTTCAGCCTCCCGTCCCGCCCTCCGAAAAGCCCTTAGGCACGGGCCCTGCACTCACCTGCTGGCAGCTGCTGGCCCAGGAGGCCCGGAGGGCGCCCCAGTGCTCCGCACGCCCGGCCTTGCTCTCCAGGTGCCTCCGCAGCTGTGCCTCCAGCTCCTGGCTGACCTGCTCGAGGGCATGCACCTGGGCCATGTACCCCACCAGGCAGGCCCCCAGGTCTTCAGCGGCATTGAGGTCCCTCCCCAGGCCTGGAGCAGGCGCTGTGGCCAGGCCTGAGCTCCGCAGCCCCTGCAGAAAGACACTGCTGATGCCCAGGGCTCGGCGGGTCACGCGGGCACCCAGGCCACCGGTGTACCCATTGGAGGCCATCCCTACATAGACCCTGGGTGCTCGGATGAGGCCACCCATGGCACTGGTCCTGGAGGCCGGGGGGCTATCCAGGGAGGAGGACGATGACCGTGTCCCCCTGAAGGACGCCCTGTGCCTCTGGACGGGCACGCTGGCTCCGGTGGGCGCATCCACCACCACTCGCTTTGAGCTCATCGCCCTTCTGCCTCTCTGTGCCTACGGGGCTTAGAGTCCAGCGGCTCTTGGTGTGCAGCCCCGGTGTCCCTGTGGCCGGGTCATCGGCCTCTCTGGAAGCTCCGTCCCCAGGGCTGCTGTGTCTGCTGTTTTCCATGCGTTTCTATCGTTCACGGAGCTGAAAGAGAGCCGGCCGTCCAGGGCCGTGTGCAGAGGCCCTCGCACATTCTCTCAGGGTCATGTGCCCGACCTCCCAGATTTTTCTGCTGGTGGTGGTGGAGGCTGGATCCCTGCAGGCTGTGGGGGTGGCTCATCTGGGGTTGTGTGTATTTCACTAAGTGAGGGCAAGGCAGGCCTCCAGCAGCCCCATTTCACAGATGAGTAAACTGGGGCTCAGATCACAAGTGGCTGAACCAGGATTTAAACAATGCAGGGATTCCCAGGGCCAATTTCAGGGCTTTCTACATCCTTACAGGAGCCGGTGTGTGGCTGGGACTGTGCCCAACCCGCCAGGTAACACAGGAGGGAAGCAGACGTGAACCAGCCATGGTGGAGGCAGCCCCGGGGTCTCAAGAGAAACAAGCCAAGCCTGCTGCTTCCTTCATCCCCCTCATCCTGGCAGCAGCTTCAAGTCCCTCCCTAGTTCCTTCCTGAGAAAACTGCAGCTCACCCTCTCTTGGCCACACAGCTTCACCTCTCTGGACCTTACTTCCCAGGCCCTGGCCTGGGCTCTACCTCTCTAATGCACCCGGAAGGCTGCCCAGGGTGCCCGCGGGACTGCGATGACAACATCCTAACACAGGCGAAGGCTAAAGGAAGGGCTCACACCAGAGGTTGCATATTATCCTCCACACCAGCGGTTCTCAACCTGTGGGTCTCGACCCCTTTGGCGGTCTAACGACCCTTTCACAGGGGTCGAATAAGACCATCCTGCATATCAGATATTTACATTACGATTCATAACAGTAGCAACGTTACAGTTATGAAGTAGCAACGAAAATAATTTTATGGTTGGGTCACAACATGAGGAACTGTATTTAAAGGGCCAGAAGGTTGAGAACCACTGCTCTACACAGAATCATAACCCTCATGGCCAGGTTAACTTCGGCTTCCTCTGATATTTACAATGAAGCCCTGAGTCCTGGGGAGGGGGAGGAGAGGAGGGGATGTACCCTCATTCATACCGGTGTCTCCAAGACCTGAGGAGGGATGATTCTCTTTTGGAGAAATCACAAACATGATTTAAAGGATTTGTCTTATCAAAGAATAAACTGCTAGTCCTAACAGCTCACAAAACCCAATTTATGGCTAAAGTAGATGAAAAACAGAGCTGGATATTAGGTGGTGTGGGTATTAAAGAAAGACTTAAAAGTCATTTTAAAATGAAAAGGATACAAAATGTATTAGCAACTTGATCCTCTGGCTAATAAAATAAGTTTATTTATATATACATGGTAGCTGAATTCTGTTGATAAGGAAAAATAAGTCATACATCCACATATGTATATATAACATATGCATCTTCGATTACATATGTTATATATAAAGTTTACAAACAGGTATCTTTCTATATACACACACACATTGATAGAGTAAATGCAGTCGCTAACAGAAATCCCATGACAGGATAACATGGTAGACAGCAGCACATGGGGAAGGAATCTCGGGGCAACATTTAACCTGCTTCTGTGTGGGATGAAGAGTCTTTACAGAGAGACAACCACTGAACTCATGTCAGGTACGTCCACACGACATGGAGAACACACGTTTCTGAAGGCCATCTTTTTCAAAGGAGAATGAAGAAAGAAAAGAGTCATGATAAGACCAGAGCAACAACACAAACATATGAGTCAACATTTAGGTTTGATTTCCAATCTGACTATAAGAACATCTATATTCAAAATATATACTATCAAACTATTTTTCTTTTAGAGAAAGGAAGCGTCCCCGCATTAATCTCTCGTCCCAGCCACTACCTATGAGGGAGAGAATGCAGAAGCCCGCGTGTCTCCGAGGGTCTGCCACCCTCAGTGGGGGTGGGGAGGCCGCCCACGGAGGGAGGGAGCAGGGGGAGGTGGGGGGAAGGGGGAGATGGGAAATGAGAGCCGGGTGGCGAGTCCATGTGCTGACAGCCAATCGGGTGTCAGTGCCGAGGATGGGATGGTTCTCCCAAGCGATGGTTTTGGCCATTTCGCTGCCGTCAGATCGCAGGGCGGTTTAGAAGTTACAGCGTCGAGGCTTCTCACATAAGCGCCTCCTCGGGGGCACTATCCTAGGGCCTTCTGAGAAACGAAGCTGAACCCCTGGAAGCTGAGCCCCCTGGCACGAGTGATGCTTGAAGAAGGGCCAGCACCCTCCAGCCCGGGCGGATCCGCATCGGCACCCTCTCCGGAGGAAGGCACAGTGTGGGACGCAGACGTGGGTGCCTTTCAGCGGGCAGCCTCGCTTCGCCAGGGAAAAGCAGGTCTGCGGTTGGCACGGCGGCAGGTCCCGTCATGCGGTGTCAGGGGCCTGTGGCCTGATGAACTTCGTGGGTCCCCGCCTGCTCAGAGGGGTTACTCGCAGTCAGTGGTGCCCTGTGAGGCGCTGGGCGCTCCTCCGTGGCTGCTGCTCGTCCGCTTCCTGCTTCAGTGATGACTCTGCCGTCCTCTCCCCCGGGTGCCTTTGCTGGTGTGCACAGGAGGGGCGGCCGGGGTCACATGGATTCAAGAGGGACCTGAGCTCTAAGACTCTCTCGGGGCCACGCACGTGACATTCCCTCGCTGCCCAGGGCTGCTGGGACCCGCGAGGGCTCAAGGACAGTTATTAAGAGAAGCAATCGGTGCACCTGCTTTGCTTAGAAAGACCTTTATTTTATAAAGCCACGGTCATTCTGTAAAGTTTTTTTTTTTAAACCACACTTATAAAAAAGATGTTGACAATTCTTAGGAAAGAAAAAGCTGAAAATGTTTCTCTTTAAGTCAGGGTTACACAAAGATTATATTTATAATATATATTTGTAGATTTATGATTTAGAGCCCAAAGGCAGGGCATGGCAAAGCGAGGGCGGCTGCGGTCAGATCTCGGATACCTGATCGTTCCCCACAAACAGTGTTTCTTGACAGAAGGGGTTGACGAGGACCATTCCCGTGTCTCTGTAGTCGCCGTTGGCTGGGGAGCGCGGCTCGGAGAGCTGGTCCTGGGGAGACAGGGAGGAGATGGTGTGAGCTGGGACGGCTCACCAGGTGGCCTTTCTTAAAGAAACGGACCCATGGGGATTGTGGGTAAACATTTTTCATCCTTTGCCCTGCCAGTGCTGAGGTGCAGAGCCCTCTCTGCTCTTTCGGATTTTTACAGCAGCTTCAAAAAAGATTTCCTGCTTCCTGAGTCACCCCCACCTCAGCTTTCTGAGATGGTACTGCTCTCCTTGTCGAAGTCTGAGCAAGCTCACCATGCTCCACACACACACACACACACACACACACACACACACACACACACACCATATGGCAAACTGTGGTCCACTGGGGCCACAGACTCTTCTTCCTGCCTCTCCCTCACAGACCTCTGGGAGACCTTGCTGCTTTTCCTCCCTCACACACCCCACACTAGTCCACCGCTCTCCTGTCCTGCCGCCCCCATGTCAGAGCCTCCAAGAGCTAGCTGCCCCCCTCCTGAGTCCTCTCAGAGCCACGTCAGAATCCGGGCCCCACTTCTTTCAGAATTAGATGTGCGGAGGTCAATGGGTCTGAATCTCTGTGGGAGTGAACAACTCAGTCTGTCTCCACAGCCCAGGAGTGGGAACAGGCCCTCCAATGCTTGGGCATCGGAAGGGCTGTGGCCCCATGGCCTAGGGCTGCAAGCACTCATGGGCCACGGGGTGGCACCACCCAGGGCTGCAGGCACCCATGGGCCACGGGACGGCACTGCCCAGGGCTGCAGGCACTCATGGGCCACGGGACGACACTGCCCAGGGCTGCAGGCAACTGTGGGCCACGGGATGGCACTGGCCAGGGCTGCAGGCACTCATGGCCCACGGGACGGCACTGGCCAGGGCTGCAGGCACTCATGGCCCACGGGACGGCACTGGCCAGGGCTGCAGGCAACTGTGGGCCACGGGATGGCACCACCCAGGGCTGCAGGCACCCATGGGCCACGGGGTGGCACCACCCAGGGCTGCAGGCACCCATGGGCCACGGTACGGCACTGCCCAGGGCTGCAGGCACTCATGGGCCACGGGACGACACTGCCCAGGGCTGCAGGCAACTGTGGGCCACGGGATGGCACTGGCCAGGGCTGCAGGCACCCATGGGCCACGGGACGACACTGCCCAGGGCTGCAGGCAACTGTGGGCCACGGGATGGCACTGGCCAGGGCTGCAGGCAACTGTGGGCCACGGGACGGCACTGGCCAGGGCTGCAGGCACCTGTGGGCCACGGGATGGCTGTACCGACTCAGCCTGGGGAACTGGTTCAGGGGAAAAGGCATCGCTTGTTCTAAACAGGTTGGAGCCTCAGGCCCAGGGCTGACTGGTCTAAGACAGACCTGCCCTGCATGTCTTCTCTCTCGGAAGCCACAATGAAATCTCTGAAGTTTCTTTTTAAGTGAAACATATAATTTTGAGCAATATGTGCTGCTTTATGGAGAATAAAGAGATGAAGGAAGAGAAAGGCCATTTGTTGGTGAAATGTCTTCTCTGATGATGAGAATTTCCCTCAGTGTCAGGAATTAGCTGAGTGCCCACCTGAGGGTGGCACAAGCCTGCCTCTAAGTAAGGATGATGGGGGCATTTCAGGGGGCAGAGCCCTTCTCCGGGGCTTTCGGGCTGAGCTGTGGAGGGACTGTGGGCTGGACTTAGTCTCACAAAGCAGGTGCCCACCCAGGGGACCAGAGACTCTTCTCTGGGTGAAAAGGAGAAAGGTATTTAGGAAGCAACTAAGGTAAGAAAGAAGAAAGGAGGAGGAGGTGGGAAGGAAGAGGGAAAGGAATGCAAGCTTGGAAAAGTTTCCCAGCACCTTTTGGGCAACGCAATTTCGCCCGCATGGCCCAGACCCGTGTTCTGCGGCTTTCGTCCACCCTAAGGGGGGCAGGCACCTGCGAATGTGCTTGGGCAAAGCTCCTGGCGGCCTCCAAAGCCGGCAGCTAAGAGGCAGTGAGTACGAAGGTCAAGGGAGGACCCAAAACGTAACATGATGTGACTATACAAGCATGCTTATAGAATCGTGTAGTATAAATACAGTTGTAACAGGGCAATAAAAAAAGAAGAGAACTTGGCTATGCTGATCAACTGAAGGCTGTCTCCATGTCCTTCATTCTTCGCTGACTTGTCCAC